TGTTTACCCTAGTAATACTGTATACCCTGTATACCCCTATATATCCTGTGTACCCATGTTTACCCTAGTAATACTGTATACCCTGTATACCCCTATATATCCTGTGTACCCATGTTTACCCTAGTAATACTGTATACCCTGTATACCCCTATATATCCTGTGTACCCATGTTTACCCTAGTAATACTGTATACCCTGTATACCCCTATATATCCTGTGTACCCATGTTTACCCTAGTAATACTGTATACCCTGTATACCCCTATATATCCTGTGTACCCATGTTTACCCTAGTAATACTGTATACCCTGTATACCCCTATATATCCTGTGTACCCATGTTTACCCTAGTAATACTGTATACCCTGTATACCCCTATATATCCTGTGTACCCATGTTTACCCTAGTAATACTGTATACCCTGTATACCCCTATATATCCTGTGTACCCATGTTTACCCTAGTAATACTGTATACCCTGTATACCCCTATATATCCTGTGTACCCATGTTTACCCTAGTAATACTGTATACCCTGTATACCCCTATATATCCTGTGTACCCATGTTTACCCTAGTAATACTGTATACCCTGTATACCCCTATATATCCCGTGTACCCATGTTTACCCTAGTAATACTGTATACCCTGTATACCGCTGTATATCCTGTGTACCCATGTTTACCCTAGTAATACTATATACCCTGTATACCGCTGTATATCCTGTGTACCCATGTTTACCCTAGTAATACTGTATACCCTGTATACCCCTATATATCCCGTGTACCCATGTTTACCCTAGTAATGCTGTATACCCTGAATACCCTTATATATCCTGTGTACCCATGTTTACCCTAGTAATACTGTATACCCTGTATACCCCTATATTATATATCCTGTGTACCCATGTTTACCCTGTAATACTGTATACCCTGTATACCCCTATATATCCTGTGCACCCATGTTTACCCTAGTAGTACTGTATACCCTGTATACCCTTGCATATCCTTTGTATATATATCCTTTCCATTGTATAGAAAAAGTCGGCTTTCTTTTTATGCATGTATGATCAGTCTTTGAGTGATACAAGGACAACTTTTTTGTTACGTGTTAATGACTCATTATCTTTTGTAGACGAATGGCTTGTTCGACAAGGGCTTCAAAAGTTCATTTTTGTCACCTTACCCCGAGTTCCTTTTTTCATCTTTTTTTGGTCTAATTAATTTTATTCATTGTCGCAAAAATTAAAGATCTAAAGCGGAAGTATTGCATTTTGGACAACCAAATTAGGAATTTTGTGAACGGAGGTCAGCATGCACCTCCACAAGAGAAATATAGTAAACATTGAGCAATCTTGACCTCAGCCGTTATATTTAGAAAAAAAAAAAAGCTTTTGAAACAATTTACGGTGTATTAAGAATCCAAATAATAATTTTAAAGGCTTATTGTGTGAAAGTCATATTATTCTTGTAAGGCAACAAAATTACGCGAGGATATAATGGGCAATGGGCAAAACACCCCTTAATTGTATGTATAGTAGTCAGTTGCCTAGTAAAATAAAATCGCCTTTCAGATCACTCAGTCTTTCAGTCAGCTAAGAGCTAGCCAACAGTTTGATCTGCTAACCAATAAACTTCGTTGATCAAACATTGTGGTCTGCGTTTCCATCTGATTGAATATAAAGTGGAAACTGTTAGTATAGATTATCAAAAAAAAATTCCATTATAAAATGGAGAATAGCCAGATGATTCGTTCTATACTCTATATCGACAGGCAAAAGTCGTGATAGCTAATTTCGTTCAATCAGGACATGTGATTTTGGAAACAACAACTTCATCATCATCATCTTCTTCTTTGTCATCCTCTCCTTTTTCTTCTTTTTTTAGAGTTTACATGGGTAAACAGAATATTGCAGAGTATAACAGGGTATTCAATAGTACTAGATATACATGGGTGAACGGGAGAATTAACAATTATTCCACGAGTGCGCGTATGCAACGAGATGGTTGTAGGCAACCAGGCGCGTAGCGACGAGTTGGCTATAATAATCTCATATCCAACAAGCGCGAGTAGAGTAACGCCCACAAAATATCGAGAATTCGTCTTCACTTCATTTGTAAGAACAACAGTTAAGGTCTCAGGAATATCTTGCCATACCGGGACAACATCTGAAAGTAAAAAAGATCTCACAGAGCACTTATAATATAATATTGGTAATATTGCTGCCAGCTACACCGGCTCTTTTAAGCACCATTAAGGAATACAATCATTTGGCGGCTTTACCATAAATATAATCAATGTGGTAGTTCCATGTAAGATCAAGCCTAATTTTTACACCAAGTTTTTTAAATTTCGAAACACGCCGCTCTAACCGATGGTTTCCGAAGCAAATAGGCTGTATGGTATTATTGGGATATTTCATGAAATTTATAACTATTTCTTTATGATTTAACTTCATCTTATGCTCAATAAAAAAATGCGTCTGTCTCTAACAAGCAAAATTCAAATCGCTAATGAAAACTGTAGTACGTATCTAGTATTGAAACTATTTATCTAAATTGAGAACAGGGGCACGCCCATCTTAGTTCCTTGGGGTATGTCACCATGGGTGTGTTTCCACTCAGACAAGATATTACCTATACACAGAGCTTGGGTTCTATTGGTTAGAAAAGACTGACTTAATCCAATCAGATAGCACAGGTTCCAAACCAAGAAGTGGAGTTCGTCTATAAGTATATGGAATGTGGTGGTCTTGACAAGAATTCTCTGCTAATATACAGAATGACTTTGGTAAACATGGGTAAACAGAATAAACAAGGGTATACAGGGTATACAGTTTTACTAGGGTAAACATGGGTACACAGGATATATAGGGGTATACGGGGTATACAGTATTACTAGGGTAAACATGGGTACACAGGATTTAGAGGGGTATACAGGGTATACAGTTTTACTAGGGTAAACATGGGTACACAGGATATATAGGGGTATACAGGGTATACAGTATTACTAGGGTAAACATGGGTACACAGGATATATAGGGGTATACAGTGTATACAGTATTATTAGGGTAACATGGATACACAGGATATTTGGGGTATACAGGGTATACAGTATTACTAGGGTTAACATGCGTACACAGGATATATAGGGGTATAAAGGGTATACAGTATTACTAGGGTAAACATGGGTACACAGAATATTTGGGGTATACAGGGTATACAGTATAACTAGGGTTAACATGCGTACACAGGATATATAGGGGTATAGAGGGTAAACAGTATTACTAGGGTAAACATGGGTACACTGGATATATAGGGGTATTCAGGGTATACAGTATTGCTAGGGTAAACATGGGTACACAGGATATATAGGGGTATTCAGGGTATGCAGTATTGCTAGGGTAAACATGGGTAAACAGGATATACAAGGGTATACAAGGTATACAGTATTACTAGGGTAAACATGGGTACACAGGATATATAGGGGTATACAGGGTATATAGTATTACTAGGGTTAACATGCGTACACAGGATATATAGGGGTATACAGGGTATACAGTATTACTTGGGTAAACATGGGTAAACAGGATATACAAGGGTATACAGGGTATACAGTATTATTAGGGTAAACATGGATACACAGGATATATAGGGGTATACAGGGTAAACAGTATTACTAGGGTATTCATGGGTACACAGGATATATAGGGGTATACAATATTGCCCTAATATATTAGGGAGTCTATATGGAGACTGCCATGAATTACTTGCCCTAAAAAACGGCCGTGTAGCAGACTAGCCTATCCACGGATGTGGCAAAAAAAAACTCTAATATTGCTTGTGTAGGCTCGCCGAAATACTCCATACAAAGCAATCTCATCAATCAGGTTGGACTCGAGTAATATGGAAAATCTTACCTCTCAACCAAAACACACTCCGATACGAGAAGAGTTATGTGCCTAGTGGGATCATTTCCAGTACTGGCTATTTAAGTACGGGACTCGTACATCGTCTTGTATTTGCTATTCATACGGGATTCCGACTAAACTGATTAGGTCTATTTAAGCACTGACTCGAAACGGTCAGCCTCTAATTAGGGTTACGGTTGTTGTTATATAAATAAAATCAAACTCCACCTAGCAGCGAGTTACTACTCCGTGGTTGAGTAGTTAGGCTACGAATTATGGATTCTACGCCCCTGGATCGGTTCTCAATCTTGCCGCATCGAATTTTTCTTCTTTTCAAAATTTAACACTGAAATTTTTTTCCCTAAAAATGGAACAGTCGTTGAAGAGACTTACACTTTCATAAAAATTTGTTGATCAGAAATTTCAAGAGACTTAGAAATTTCATGTAAATAGACTTGATCCCGTATGTCATAGCAAATACATGTTGGTGTACGGGTCCTGTACGAATAGCGGCACTGTGCCATTATGAAGCAACTGCATGTTGTTAATAACAGTGATCTTCTCTTATTTTAAATGCAACTCTGATTTTAAAAGATAAATGGCAGACAGCCCTACTAAAAGATAATTTTCTATATTTATTTTTTTTCAACTGGATCATTTTTTTATTAAGCACACAAAACATTCCTCTTTATAGTTAGCGATAAAATCGCTTACACTGGGACTTTCAGCGTCGGTGAACAATACTTTTGCATTGTCTGTGTAATTTAAACTAAACGCACTATTTTGCTTTTAGAAAGCTTCCAAGTGTTTCCTATTTTTCTATCCAATAAAAAGTGCAGACTTGAACATGTGGTTAACAAGTTAATGAGTTGCTTGATTACTGAATTTCTATGGATTTTCTCATACAAACTGCATGGTATTCTATCGAACTCCATGGACACGCTATGGCATTCCATGGAACTGCATCGGTACTTCAGGGAACCCCATGGCATTCCATGGAACTCCACGATATTCCATGGAATTTCATGGCATTCCATGGAACTCCATCACTACCTCATGGAACTCCGTGGAACTCCATGGCATTCCATGGAACTCCATGGAACTCCATGGCATTCCATGGAACTCCATGGATACTCCATGGATACTCCATGGGAGTTTCGTGGAATTCCATGGATTTCCTTGGAATTCCATGGATTTCTATAGATTTCCATGGAATTCCATGGATTTCCATGGATTTCCATGGATTTCCATGGAATTCCATGGATTTCCATGGATTTCCATGGAATTCCATGGAGGTATTTCACACGGGAAGGCCCCTTTGATTTTACCAGCCCAACACGAATTTGAAAAACAATTGCTATCGTCTATTCGGCTCTACGATTGGCCAATAGCCCAAATCTCCTAGCAACCATCGTAGAGTTTCCCACCCAGGTACTTTTTACGACCAACACTGCGCGCTTATCCCCCGCGCCTCAGGGATTCGAGGAGAACACTTGGTTACCGAAACGAATGCAGATCGACCTTTGAAGCAACAAGCACATGTAGGACGATAAATTCTATCAAACTAGCAGTAGCCGTTGGCTAGGAAGTGCGGGCGAAACCGCTTTGATATGTAGGTGAATATCTTTCCCTGCGGGTCATGAAAACTGGATTGAACAACAGAGTAAACTCATATAATTATTTAATTCAACGATTTCATTTGCAGTTGATTATATAGAAAGACGTTTGTATCTTGTTCGCCGGCAAAGATACGTTGGAACGGTAATGCGTGACACAAGTAATGCGGGTATGCAGTCATGCACAAAGTCTCGTTATTCAATCGAATATTCAATCCGTTTTCAATGACCAAAGGCCGTTGAATATGCGATACAAAATAATGAAACAGCTTAAATTACCACTGGAGTTTAAAGCTTATTAAAGCTTTTGGATGACAGGCGGCGTAACATGCTTGAAAAAAACGTATAAAAATATAAAAACCCTGAAAAACCATGTACTGTAGTGAAACGTGAATAAACTTTTAATATAATTTACATCGATTTCTAGACTTTGCTAGCACTTATATCTCACCGAAAACTTTTCCCGCAGTAACCTGAGATCAGGCTGTATTTTTATCTTCCTGGGTAAATAGATTCTAGGCCCGCAAGGCGAATCAAAGTCTCCCATTTAGTGCAGTACTTTTGTACCTGAATTACCGGTGCTTGCGAATCGAAAGTGTAATAATGATTGTTGCATTACTTGCATGTGCATTCACGTGATTACTGTGACATCAGAAGGACCTTTGAACTCAACACCAGGACCTTCGAGACCACATACCATTCATACCATGCATTATTAGTCGGTACAACACAGAAATGCGAAGAGATCGAGAAAAATCCGCCTATACAGTTAAAAAAGTGCCGCTGACCAAGAATAGGTGGCGGGCTCCTTTTGTCACCCGCAATTAGAAAATTATCCATTGAAATAATTGAAGTGAGTAATTCATTCATTTGGCCGTTAAGGGCACAAATGCTTTCTAACTGCAAAAGCAGAGAGTACACAAAAGAAGTGATTATTTTTTAAATTATTATTTTACATATATGTAAGGTTCTCTAGAAGTGCGTGTCTCTTCCACTATGCATGACGACAATTCAGAAAATCCTCAGCCTTACCTTATGGAAAAAGGGTCGGATGTTACTCTAACATGCACTGCCAGTTTCGAGGCATACAGAATGAGATGGTTTGTCAATGATACATTGCTGGAAAATGATAGCTGCACAAACGGAGAACAGAACCCGGTTAAAACCTGTAATCTGACTTTACGAAGGCTAGATGTCGGTGGGAAGTATACCTGCCAGGCAGCTAAAAGTGGAATCAGAGAGTGCACTTTTAAGGAGCTGGAACTTAAAGTCGCTGGTGAGTCGAGACTTATTCAAGTGAGATTAACATGCGTACACAGGATATATAGGGGTATACAGGGTATACAGTATTACTTGGGTAAACATGGGTAAACAGGATATACAAGGGTATACAGGGTATACAGTATTATTAGGGTAAACATGGATACACAGGATATATAGGGGTATACAGGGTAAACAGTATTACTAGGGTATTCATGGGTACACAGGATATATAGGGGTATACAATATTGCCCTAATATATTAGGGAGTCTATATGGAGACTGCCATGAATTACTTGCCCTAAAAAACGGCCGTGTAGCAGACTAGCCTATCCACGGATGTGGCAAAAAAAAACTCTAATATTGCTTGTGTAGGCTCGCCGAAATACTCCATACAAAGCAATCTCATCAATCAGGTTGGACTCGAGTAATATGGAAAATCTTACCTCTCAACCAAAACACACTCCGATACGAGAAGAGTTATGTGCCTAGTGGGATCATTTCCAGTACTGGCTATTTAAGTACGGGACTCGTACATCGTCTTGTATTTGCTATTCATACGGGATTCCGACTAAACTGATTAGGTCTATTTAAGCACTGACTCGAAACGGTCAGCCTCTAATTAGGGTTACGGTTGTTGTTATATAAATAAAATCAAACTCCACCTAGCAGCGAGTTACTACTCCGTGGTTGAGTAGTTAGGCTACGAATTATGGATTCTACGCCCCTGGATCGGTTCTCAATCTTGCCGCATCGAATTTTTCTTCTTTTCAAAATTTAACACTGAAATTTTTTTCCCTAAAAATGGAACAGTCGTTGAAGAGACTTACACTTTCATAAAAATTTGTTGATCAGAAATTTCAAGAGACTTAGAAATTTCATGTAAATAGACTTGATCCCGTATGTCATAGCAAATACATGTTGGTGTACGGGTCCTGTACGAATAGCGGCACTGTGCCATTATGAAGCAACTGCATGTTGTTAATAACAGTGATCTTCTCTTATTTTAAATGCAACTCTGATTTTAAAAGATAAATGGCAGACAGCCCTACTAAAAGATAATTTTCTATATTTATTTTTTTTCAACTGGATCATTTTTTTATTAAGCACACAAAACATTCCTCTTTATAGTTAGCGATAAAATCGCTTACACTGGGACTTTCAGCGTCGGTGAACAATACTTTTGCATTGTCTGTGTAATTTAAACTAAACGCACTATTTTGCTTTTAGAAAGCTTCCAAGTGTTTCCTATTTTTCTATCCAATAAAAAGTGCAGACTTGAACATGTGGTTAACAAGTTAATGAGTTGCTTGATTACTGAATTTCTATGGATTTTCTCATACAAACTGCATGGTATTCTATCGAACTCCATGGACACGCTATGGCATTCCATGGAACTGCATCGGTACTTCAGGGAACCCCATGGCATTCCATGGAACTCCACGATATTCCATGGAATTTCATGGCATTCCATGGAACTCCATCACTACCTCATGGAACTCCGTGGAACTCCATGGCATTCCATGGAACTCCATGGAACTCCATGGCATTCCATGGAACTCCATGGATACTCCATGGATACTCCATGGGAGTTTCGTGGAATTCCATGGATTTCCTTGGAATTCCATGGATTTCTATAGATTTCCATGGAATTCCATGGATTTCCATGGATTTCCATGGATTTCCATGGAATTCCATGGATTTCCATGGATTTCCATGGAATTCCATGGAGGTATTTCACACGGGAAGGCCCCTTTGATTTTACCAGCCCAACACGAATTTGAAAAACAATTGCTATCGTCTATTCGGCTCTACGATTGGCCAATAGCCCAAATCTCCTAGCAACCATCGTAGAGTTTCCCACCCAGGTACTTTTTACGACCAACACTGCGCGCTTATCCCCCGCGCCTCAGGGATTCGAGGAGAACACTTGGTTACCGAAACGAATGCAGATCGACCTTTGAAGCAACAAGCACATGTAGGACGATAAATTCTATCAAACTAGCAGTAGCCGTTGGCTAGGAAGTGCGGGCGAAACCGCTTTGATATGTAGGTGAATATCTTTCCCTGCGGGTCATGAAAACTGGATTGAACAACAGAGTAAACTCATATAATTATTTAATTCAACGATTTCATTTGCAGTTGATTATATAGAAAGACGTTTGTATCTTGTTCGCCGGCAAAGATACGTTGGAACGGTAATGCGTGACACAAGTAATGCGGGTATGCAGTCATGCACAAAGTCTCGTTATTCAATCGAATATTCAATCCGTTTTCAATGACCAAAGGCCGTTGAATATGCGATACAAAATAATGAAACAGCTTAAATTACCACTGGAGTTTAAAGCTTATTAAAGCTTTTGGATGACAGGCGGCGTAACATGCTTGAAAAAAACGTATAAAAATATAAAAACCCTGAAAAACCATGTACTGTAGTGAAACGTGAATAAACTTTTAATATAATTTACATCGATTTCTAGACTTTGCTAGCACTTATATCTCACCGAAAACTTTTCCCGCAGTAACCTGAGATCAGGCTGTATTTTTATCTTCCTGGGTAAATAGATTCTAGGCCCGCAAGGCGAATCAAAGTCTCCCATTTAGTGCAGTACTTTTGTACCTGAATTACCGGTGCTTGCGAATCGAAAGTGTAATAATGATTGTTGCATTACTTGCATGTGCATTCACGTGATTACTGTGACATCAGAAGGACCTTTGAACTCAACACCAGGACCTTCGAGACCACATACCATTCATACCATGCATTATTAGTCGGTACAACACAGAAATGCGAAGAGATCGAGAAAAATCCGCCTATACAGTTAAAAAAGTGCCGCTGACCAAGAATAGGTGGCGGGCTCCTTTTGTCACCCGCAATTAGAAAATTATCCATTGAAATAATTGAAGTGAGTAATTCATTCATTTGGCCGTTAAGGGCACAAATGCTTTCTAACTGCAAAAGCAGAGAGTACACAAAAGAAGTGATTATTTTTTAAATTATTATTTTACATATATGTAAGGTTCTCTAGAAGTGCGTGTCTCTTCCACTATGCATGACGACAATTCAGAAAATCCTCAGCCTTACCTTATGGAAAAAGGGTCGGATGTTACTCTAACATGCACTGCCAGTTTCGAGGCATACAGAATGAGATGGTTTGTCAATGATACATTGCTGGAAAATGATAGCTGCACAAACGGAGAACAGAACCCGGTTAAAACCTGTAATCTGACTTTACGAAGGCTAGATGTCGGTGGGAAGTATACCTGCCAGGCAGCTAAAAGTGGAATCAGAGAGTGCACTTTTAAGGAGCTGGAACTTAAAGTCGCTGGTGAGTCGAGACTTATTCAAGTGAGTAATTATTATTATTACTATTATCATTATCATTATCATTATTATCATTATTATTATTATTATTATTATTATCATTATTATTATTATTTTTATTATTATTATCATTATTAAAGGGCCGATGTTGACAAATTTTGCTTGTATCGCTTTACGAAGGTGGCCCGGAAATATCATGAAAAAGCATGCAAAAGATCTGTCATGAGAAATAAAAAAACAGTTGTCATGATATCTGTGGGCCACCGTCGTAAAAAGATACAAGTAAAACTTGTTAAAATTGGCCCTTTAATTGATAACATAATAATAATAATAATAATAATAATAATAATAATTGCGTTCGCAGAACGCCATCCGAAATTAGTAGCCAGAAAAAATCGAGATTTTTCGCGACGGACTTTCAAATAGCCTGGCCTCTTGAAAGAACGCGGCTGTCCTGGGTACGGAAGATACAAAACACATGACTCATTTTTTCGACCAATAAGAGATGACTGTTGGTCCACGTGACTTGTAACACACAATGGAAACTTTTAGAATGTTTCTTGATCTGTTTGCGTTTTTTAAAGCTCGATTCAAGGTTTTCCTGATGCTAACATAGGTGAATTTCGTTTTGTTACTTTTGTTTGTTTGTTGGTTTTTTTTATGGCGCCTTAAATTACTTGGATATATTTCGAATTCAGGCATATGCGATTAAGTGTGTTAATTGAGCAAAGTTTTGGTGTACACGGCGAACAAGAAATGTTCCTTCTACTTTCGACTTTCGTTTAGTTATTTTAACAAATTAAGTTTCACTGAATTGTAGAGTGGGTCTTTCAACTTTGAGTCAAATAAAAACCGCATGCATGAATAAAAATCGTCTTACATTTTATTAGTACAAATAAAATTATCCGATTATTGCCAATAAATCTAAATCCTGCAGCTGAAGATACTAACAATTGGGTCAAGTAACAACTAATTCCATTTTGTTGTTAACTGATGTGCAATATAATTATGCAGCACATATGGTTCTATATCAACCTTTTTACAATAAAATTGTTTTTTAACAATATGTTAATCATTGCCATCATCATCACCTTTTTTTTGTCCCTGGACACTAACTCATAGAAGCTTGTAAAAATCTATGGTCTGCCCGGAAATAACTCACTTCGCATATCGAACGCACTCTTTAATCTATGATTACCCCTAGTAATAATAATAATGATGATGATGATGATAATACGAATAATAACAATAATAATATTATTATTATCATTCATTGTTAATAAGTATTTTTATTACACATATTCTACAAATTAATCATATTCACTTTTTACAATCAGCTTGCAAAGAAAAATATTAATAATAATTTACTGTTTACAATCAGGTTAAAATCATATGATTATATGCTATAAAATATCTTATTAGTACTGTAGAAAATTCATCACCACATTTCTATCATTGAATACTGAAGTAGAGTGAATGTACTTGTATTCAATCGAAATAACTCATTTTTTAAAAATCTAGTTCCCAATTTAAGGTTGATATACGAAAAACTGTGCCCAGCTGTCAGCAGATCCTGTCATTTTCAATCAAGTGCATGAAGGGTTTAAACTCAGTCTATAGCCTACGGGATATGTGGTAGACAAAAGTCTTATTTTTATAACCCATGTCACAGCGTTTGTAGAGGGCAGAGTAATGGGGAGGGAACATCTGTTTAGGTTTTCCAATCGTTGGTGCGCTGCATCAACACTCATATAGACACGTACATATCTTGTAGGCTGATTTAGCCAGAACTGACGTCTGGCGTCTCTTTTTAAACGTTACTGAAGGACGTTCTTGATACAGAATTTAAAATAATGAACAAAATTCATCATCACATTACTGACGGTATAAAAACCATTACTAATAAACCTTTCCCACATTAAGCTCCAGTGAGCAAAGATAAAGAAATGAGGACGAGGCTCGGGTGGGCGATTTCATACAAATCACTGTATTTTGTCCACCCGAGCCTCGAGTTGGTGCCTTTGTTTACAGGAATGCGAGAAAGGTCTATGGTGTAAAAAACATCTTTATTTCCTTTTATAGACGGTCGAAAACCAACTATTATTAAGGCGCCAGTTAATCAAAGTGCACATATTGGGTCCAACGTAACATTTATCTGTGCGGTGAGTGGTGATCCCGCGCCTGCAGTAAACTGGACGAAGGATGGTAAGTTGTTGCCCTTCAACCAAAAAGTCCCGACAAACCTCACAACGGGTGAAATTCAGCTTGTAATAAGAAGAGTGAGAATGGACGACACTGGCAAATATCGATGTGTGGCAAGTAACAGTATGGGTACGGAGAAGTCAAGAGCAGCGGCATTATTAGTGCTTGGTAAGGTGTTGCATTTACAAGTTACGTATACTTACTTAATTAGTTACTAACTTACTTACTTGCTTGCTCGCTTGCTTGCTTACTGACGTATCTCCTGTATTTACTTATTATAACTACTTATTTATTTACTTTCTTACTTATAAGAAGATGTAAGGACTTCCTGCCATTCCTAAAAGTTGAATTTATTCACAAAGACAAACAGATCGCTTAAAAAATCTCGTCAGTGGATACTGCCTACTTTTTGTTTCAATAATCCTTGCAATCGTCTTTCGGCTTTAGTTTGAAGCTTTCCGAGAAAAAAAAGAGGGCTTTGGCCAAAGAGATGCTTCTTTCAGTGTAAGACTATGTAAACGAGTTTCAAGTTTCAAGTTTAAGTTTTCAAGTTTATTTAATATATATGTATATATATATAAACTATTTACAATCAAATCTGACTGACCTGCAGGTAGCTAAACTAATCGAGGCAGGTCAGTCTCACAAGTACTAAATATTAAAGATTTCAAAAAAGGGATTAACAAAGTAACAGTTTTTCAAAAAGAAAGACAATGACGTATAAGCAATATGGTTCCCCATTAAATAAAAAAAACTAATTAAAGGATAAAAAATAAAAAGAAACAATTATGATGAGAGGTACTAGATGTTTAGAGAGAAAAGAGTTATAAGTTAATATTTCTTTAAGTTTGGCCATGACTTTGTCTTTATCTATATAGTTGGTTTCGGTTTATGACAAACCTCATAAACTATCGTCCAGTGGCTAGTTACTGGAGAACGCTCTTGATACAGAACGTAAAAATACTGACTGTGTAATAAAAACATATTTATTTTCTTTTCTAGACGGTCGAATACCAACTACTGTTAAGGCGCCAGTAAACCGAAGTGCACAAACTGGAAAGGAAGAGGGTATGTACTCACTCACTTCCTACCTTTCTTCCTTTCTTCTA